GAAAGAGAAACAAAAAGAAATAACAAAGTAAGCTACCCTGGGCTGATTCCAACGGGTAGTTTTTCATATTTTTGAGGCTGGGCTGTTCGTACTTGATACTAGAAGGCATTCTGGGATTAGGGGAAGGATATTCCTAAGAAATTTTACTAGAATAAAACTTTATATATAGTTCATTCTCAAGTGCTTTTTGAAACAGATTTTTACGCTTGACTCAGAAATCAGATTTCCCAAGTACATGTCTCCATCTCATCTCCCTGTCTTAGGACACTAACCTGAATAGCACTGGTCCTTTGAACCTACAGCTTACTTACCATCCTTCTCAATGCTGTAGAAGGAAGATGGGTCAGTGGCAAGGAGTGGGAGGGAAACGGCAAGAAAGATCAAGAGCAGGCAAGCCACCTTATATTCCTCCTCAGAGGACGAAGTATCTGGTAAGAGGGAAAAAGTAAATAAGATCAGCAAATAGGGAGTTACCTTCTACAGGGGTCCTATTTTACAGAATTGCTGTTAAATGACATGAAAAATATCTATGACGATACTTTATAAAGTTCAGTAGACAGGTTATTATTATTATTAAAGAGGACAGGGCTAGCATCCACTTCTAGTGAAGGGCCTGAATCCTAAAGGCCTCCCCTGGTGATAGGCAGAACTAGCCAGAGACTCTGCTGATACACAATCTGCAGTCCTAGGACAACTGTCATCTACATGATGGGATGGAGAGGCAGAAAGGAGAAGAAAGATTCTCACCAACCAAAACAGAAGCAGAGGATAAGTCTGGTAATTTTGAAAGGACTGAATACCAACCCCTTGGTTCTATCCCTATCCGAGTGTATTTAAATATGAATGTGCTAATCAGAGGAAATGTGTAATGGGAAACATAAGAGACAAGTGTGAGCTGGGGGATAAACGAAGAATGTAAGGTGATTCTGTGGGAGGGGAGAGTACAGGATCGCCATGGGGAACTTAGATGATGTGCCACACAACCTAGCATGAAATCATATGCTATTTTGTGTTATTCTCTCATTGTTTCATTTGCATTAATCTTATTTCCCCAAGCAGACTGTAAATTCCTCTGAGCACTTGCTGAGAACCAAACAGACTCTCAGTACTTTTTAGCTGATTGGTAGATTAACTGGTGAGAACCTGAGGAGAAATCTAAATTGCCTATATAAGTATTTTCTGGAGGTTAGGGTCTACACTTTAAGTCTTTACTTAGCTTTCAGTTCATATCCTCTGAGTTCCCAATCCCAAATAAAGGATTCTTTGACACTGACATTTTTCCACCCAAGAATAGGACCTACACCCTCTCTTGCTCCCTTTCCCCCAATCTTACCAGCTTTCAGATTGGCAATGGCAGCCACCAGGGCTGGGTCAATGTCGCAGCCCAACCCTGCAGCAGAGGCCAGCTCAAAGACACTCAGGGTCACCTGGTAGAGAAGAAAACAACATTCTGGAAAGAATTCCCAAGAGAGAAGAGTTTGGCAGAATCTGCTAGTAGCCAGGATTCCCAGATCACAGATTTTAAACTTGAGGTATACTATCATCTTTCTCTAAATATTCCTTTCATAGCTTTCTATAGTCTATAGGGGGGAAAATGCTTTATAGTGGCATTCAGGATACTCCATTGTACAAATGTACTTTCTCAATCTTATTTCCCTGAATGCTTCCTCCAGCCAACACAGCCAGGGTGTTTAATTCATTGTCCCCAAACTATTGAGTCGTCGAAAAAGTCATGACGTATTTTTCTATGTAAAAATGTATCATGGGGCTGGCAGGTAGTGTAGTGTTAAGGTGCTGGACTACCACATGGTCGACTGCAGTGCAAGAGCCAGATCTGGCAGCTTGAAAATCACACTGGACACATGTGCATGTGCACCCAAAATCCTAAGAGGAGAATGATGGATAAGGAATTGCCAGTGGCCATCCCCTCACCAAGGGGTGATTTCTCACTTTCTGTCTCTCTGGCAAGCACACGTACCCTAAAACCAAAAATCTTTCTTAAAAAAAGAAGAAGAAGAAGAAAGAATGAAAAGCATCATTACTTTTCTGACAACCCAGCACAACTTCTTTTCTCTTGGCTGTACTTTGATTCACATTCTACCCTCTTTCTAGGGTGTCCTTTCTTCTCTATTTACAAGGGAACTTCAAAAAGTCCATGGAAAATGGAATGAAAACACAAACTTATTTTGGTGCAAAAATTTTAAAAATCCATACATAGTTTATTAAAAATACACACTTCCACGAACTTTTTGAATACACCCCCCCCCTTACGTCTAAGTGACAGTCATCCCTTGAAGCTTAAATCCAGGTTCCACCTTCTCTATAAAGTTCCTAAATTCTTAAGTCCAAACCCATGTCTCCCTCCTTAAATTGGTACCACTGACCACTCATGCTCCTTATATTGGTTATCTTTTACAGGAGCTGAGATATATGGCTTATCTCACTGAATAGATGGTCATTTTAAAAAGTCTTACTGCATAGTGAAGGGAGAAGAAGGCTTTGTAGTGAGACAGATTTGGGTTCAAATGCTAGCAACACTGCTTATTAAATGGGTGACCCTGGCTAAAAGTTACTGGATCATCAGAAAGTCGTGATGCATTTTTGCATTAAAAAAATAGGAAAAATATGTCATGACTTTTCCAATGACCCAATACTTACCCACTTTCAGCCCCAGTTTTCTCATCTGCAAAATTGGGATAATGATACTTACCTCACAACATCGTTGTTAAGATTAAATAGAACCACAAGTGTGAAGCATCTATCCTAATGATTGCAGTAAATGTTATGCCCATCTCACCGCTTCATCTTAAAGATAGGACTTTAATAGATATTGATTGATTAAATGATTAATGCCTGAATCTATCATTGTACTCAGAACTGGGTGCCCAGAACATAACTCCAAACTCCATTCCTATGTGAATTATTTAGATCCCTTTGAGGTTAAGGGAGAAAAAAAACTTTTGGCTCAGCCACCATGACACAAATGGGAAGGCACCATTAAACAGTGGCTAAGGTTGCATGCGAAACCTGGGTTCAGTTTCTAGACCAACCTAGAGAGGCCACAGAGAGTGTGCATGCCTACAGTCCTAGCTAACTGGAGGCTAGGACACAAAGACACAAAGACAGTGGCAGGGTAAGACCCTATCAAAGATACTTATCTCTGTCTCTCCCCTAGAAAAAATGTAAGGTTCTGACATAACAAGGATAATTGTTTCAATAACATACAGAAGTAAATAGAACATATTATGCAGGGGCTGGCAAATGGCATGACGATTGGGGCACTAGACTCCCACATGGCCAATTGCAGTTCAAGTCCCAGACCTGGAGGCTTACTTTCTCACTTTTGCTCTCTCTCTTGTTCTGCCTCTCATTAAGAAATAACAATAATTAATAAAAGTAAATAAATAAGTCATCTTTTTTTTTTTGAGAAGTTTTTTTCTATAGGGCATGTGCACTCACCAGAAAGACAGAGAGAGACAGAGAGACAGAAAGTGAGAAAGCACCACCCTTCAGGGGGATGGTCACACCACAATCTCTTCTCCTCTCTTCTCCTCCATTGCCCTCTTAGGATCCTGGGTACACACATACATGTGCCCGGCGTGAGTTTAAGCCACCAGGTCCAGAACTCAAACCGTGGTCTACTACATGGGAGTCCAGCAACGTAGCCATTGGGCCATTTGCTGGTCCCATGTCTTTTCTTTTTTCTTTTTTTAGAGAGAGATTTTTTTCTATAGGCCTGTGTGCTCACCAGAGAAACAAAGAAAGAGAGACAGAAAGTGAGAAATCACCCACCAGGGAGGATGGCCATGCCACAATCCCTTCTCCAGTCCCCTCTTGGGATTTTGGGCATGCACACACATGCACCCGGCATGAGTTTTAAGCTGCTGTGTTCCAGACTCGAACCACAGCTGACTATGTGGAAGTCCAGCAATGAACCATTATGCCATCTTCTGGTCCCATAAATAAGTATTTTTTTAAAAAAATAATAGCAAGGAACCCCACAGACATAACAGCATTCATTGCCTATGATGCTGACACAGGATCTAAACCTTAGCAACTTTCTGCTCTGCCCTTTATTTAAATAGCCTACCACCTAGATCACCCTGTTTGTGGCAACTGTGGCCTAGTGGATCAGGCACTTGGTCCATGACTTGCGGTTTTCTTAGTATCTAGCTTTAATTTTCCCACTAGCCAGTTTCCTCTTATCACAGACCTTTCCTCCTTTAAAGGAATCAATCATAAGAGAAGTAGCCTGCCCTTTGCATTTGAAGAACCTTGTTCTCAGACTTTGGCTGGATTTCCTACATAACATACTTGTTTGTTCCAGATGATTCAAAGACACGATGACTCTAAGCTGGGGGAGGAATGGGGAATGGGCATTTGACTTAGGTTGTCTGCAGAAGCCCTTCTTCCTCTCTCCATCGCCTGTAGTAATAAATGGAGACCGAGGCAGGTGATGCAGACATAGAGGAACAGAAAGTTTAAAAACTGGGTGTATAAAAAGGCCAGAAAAAGAAAGGAAACTCTGAGGTAGGCAGGGTGGGTGGGAATGGAAGGAACAAATCTAACATAAAGTACCTAAGCTCCTGACTAAAGAGGGGACTTGTTTGCACAGTTTGGCACCTAATTTGCACATTGCTCATTTCAGGTGAAAACCTACAGCTACTATTCTAGGTTTTACTCCTCTCCCTCCCAACTAGCACAGGGTCTTCAAGGGTCCTACTTGCTCTGTCCCCCATATCTCCCTAGCTCTGCCCTCTCTCTCCAACATCTGTCTGACCAGTTTGCCTACTCAAATCCTGACTCTTACCTCTACGGCATTCTTCAGAGCTCTCTT